ATGAACAAAGAACTTGTCGTCGATTGTTGCAGTTAATGCATCACCATGATTTGTATTAACTCTTTTCAGACCAGTCACTCTGTATCTATGCTCTACTTGTAAGTCAGCCAATTTCTTTACAGGTTTTTAGTTATATTTGCAATGTTATTTATGTAATCGATTTATTGTTTCTTTTTCACTGCACGATATTAAAATCAATGTGAATACTTCGCTTATTATATTAAAAATAAAACGTCATATACGGCGGGAAAAAGTTTTTATGACGTCACTTACATGGAAATGTACGTCATACGAAAAATATATGATGTCATTGACATAGACGCCGTTCTTATGAAACTAACAAAAGAAATTCTAAGAACTGTGTTCTGACTTGGAGGGCCCCAAGTCAGCAAGTCTCAGAATATTTGAAAATTGTCAATGCCGGACTTGTCCACCGGCGCGTCAGTCAACTCACTGGACCAATCATCGGGAAGTATTTCCCTCATGGCCCAGAAGGCAACTCTACGGCCCTAGTGACGCCAACAAGCATGCGGTCGAGCACTTGTGGCGTCAGTTAGCTCCAGGCAAATCACGCGGTCATCTCTGTGTAATTTGTCGCAGTCAAATCGCGGTTTTGTGCAGTCAGCTCACCTTTGGTAGTACCAAATACAGTCAAGTAGACTCAGACAACTCTCACGAACAAAAGTGAATCATCATAATTACTCTCATCAGTGCCAGTGGTCCAGTAAAGTCAGTTGTAGTGTCTTTGGGCGCGAAGCTGAACTGGCGTCGACGCCATAGAGCCTCACGGACATTCACATATACATCGCACACCCGAACAACTCTGGTGTATACCGTGAATGTTGCTATTCACTGTTTTGAGACGGTTTTTTTTGGTGAAACATTAACTAGCAAACAATCTTCAAGTGAAAAAATAGTTGAATTACGGACAACTCAATGAACCTTAGTGATTAGTTCTCTCTCTCGTACTATTTATTGTTAATTGTTAATAAAAGTGAAAAAACCATACAGTTTTGGTGTTAATAAACTATTTCGTTTTAAGCAACCTTCTAGCATCCAACCTGTTTCGTTATTCTGCTCTTAATTATTACAGTTCACTAGTTTTTTGTTTGCTCGTCCGGCCGACTCGAAGTCAGAACAAACTGAATATAACGGTTAAACTTTCTAAGAACCGAAGATTTACCGATAGAGTGTAGATTATATTAAACAGACGAGACATTTTGAAATCAGTTCTGCTACAAAAATCATCGAATCCACACTTAGCTGTGCACTATTGAGAGAAAATAAAGTAATAATTACGTTGTCAAGTTTAATACATTGTTGAGTGAAATAAAATACAAAAATCGATTACATCAACAGTATTGCGAATAATACTCAAAACCGAAGAAAAAAATGTCAGAATTAGGAACTACACGAAAATATCAAGTGACAGGATTGAAAAGAGTGAAATCAAGACATGGTGACGCAGTCATTGCCACACTGGATGACGACTTCATAGTTTTTCTGCCAAAAAGATCAACTGAAGCATTACAAGACGACACTGGATATAACACCTTGATCGACTTTATAAAGAAAAATAACTTATCACTTCAATACATTGGTGGAAATTGGAATAATTTCAAATTTATTGAAACAAATGAAGTCAACACCCATCAGGATCCCATAATACACGACACTGAATAGGCAGGAAGTGGATATTTGAAGGAATTAATGTAAAAAAATTCATTTTATTATATGTTTTTGTCAATTATGTAATAAAATTTGTTTAATTGCAATAAAAAATCTAATTTTCACAACTCAACCTTTCCTGTAAAGTAAGATTTATGCATTAAATTAATTTACTAAAAATAAAAGTATCAAGAATAATTCAATAATAGAATAAAAATATATAAGTTAAGTAAAATATACTTTTAGAATATTTAAATTAAACATTAGCATCATAAAAATTTTGAACTTTTTAAAATTCACATTTTCGCGCGTCATTACAACAGCGCAACCTGGTGGAGAAGATCGATAACAGTTACCGACACTAGATTGGTAAAAATTACCAACAAAATTTTTCAAAATTCAAATTTAGAATTTTCAAAAATTTTAATTTGAATTATTTTCCCGCCACAACAGCAGCGCGGCCTAGATCGGTAACAATTACCGACTGCAAATCGGTACAGCGCCATCTAGCAGGAAAATCGGCAACTACGCCCACAGTCGGTAAGTTGCCGGCTTGGGTGGTAAATTACCGGCACTGTCAGTAAGGTAGGATACGCCAGAACCCCCCTACATATCTGCTCGAATATAAAGACTTAATAACTACATATGAAAATAACGAAGCAGAAGAATTAATATAATTCGTTAAAAATCCTGGGAGGGATAAAAAGCCAAGAGTAACTCAAGATCAACGAGTACTTGATAAATTAATTAATTTTTTTGAAGAAAATCAGTGATATATGTTCCTCATTAATATATTTCTCTTCTATATTTTATAAAAAATAGTTCATTATTAGTAAATATTTTAATAAGTATATGTTATTTGTTCTTAATGTTTCGTTTAATACTTCTTTATAAATATATCGTTTAATATATTCTATATTTAATGTTATGATCGATTATAAATCAATAAAGTGTTTTATAAGACTTATTCGTTTATTTGAATTTATGTAGATGATTGTTATTAAATAAAAATTAAGGTTTTTTTCAGAATTTCTCATATATTAGTGGCCTCAACTACTGCACCACCATCTGACTCTATACAACGTTGCTGCTTCAATTTCTTACGATTGCTCTTCTATCCCCTCCACTAAAATTAACCGTCGAAATATTTTGTTTAGTTCAATCGTTTGTCTGAATTACGAGGTGAATAATTTCTGTTTTTTTCTCTACTTATTCCGGATATACTATTTTAACAACTATTAGTTTTTCATCAAGATGGTGAAAGCCCTTCAAAGAAAAAAACAAAAAAATTTGTCATTTTCCCACGCTTCTCCTATGCTACATGTACAAAAAATGTCATTTTTAATTGTAATTATCTCGCGTTTGATTAGATAAATCGTCTTTTAATCGTAACAGTATGTGCATTATGAATTTATTTAATTATATTCCAAAATTTGGAAATTTCTTAAAATATTGCTTTCGTATACGTACTACCTTAAAAGGATAATTCATCAAAACATTGGGAATATAGTTCTCTCCGTACTGGACAAATTTCAGTTTCTCTAGCTTGTCGTTGTTGTATGATTTTTTTGCACACTCGATAGTTTTTCAATAATACCACACATTCTATCAATTGCATATTTAAAAAAATACATTAACTCAAATCATTATTCAGTACATGACTAACAAGTTAACTCATTAAAAATTAATATGGATTAGAATCATCTGAGCTTTTGAACCTTACGTTCATTGTAATTGATTTTAAGGGTGTTACCAAAATATTTGTGACAAGAATTCAATTTCATGGTAAGTGGGAAAATTCTTAAATCATTTCCACGAAAGTACAATCTGTTTGAAATATTGTTTATGTTAGAAATTCTACCATTTTCTTTGTCAAACAGATGAGCCATAAAATTAGGATCAACTCTAGCTTGAATCTCAAAACCAGGTAACCCCTGGTTGGGTATTGGGTGGTTACCTAAGATAGACGAGAACATTTAACAGATGAGACGCACATGTATAATCAAACTACCGAAAGAGTTATAATGGCGACATAGGGAAATTATAGAGTCTCACTTCCAGACGAAAATTCAAGACTAGTTTAATTACTTTTCCTCGTAATACATACATTAAGGCTTATGACTTTTGAAGTAACTATTGTTTTTATGTTGTTAACAAGCTTAGTTTAAAATTGTTAAAATAATACGAAACTCCTAATGATTCATTATTTTTTGTCAGTTTCAATTATCAATGATTCATACATTAAAATTTTGTAGTAAATATTTAACCATTTATCGAAGAAACCTGTTTTACCTCATGCACTTATGTGTACAAATAATATATTTATATTTAGCTTTATATTGTATTTTACAATTTTAACATCCGGTAAATCAGGACAAATCCAAAATTTAAATTTATTATTATTTCTTTATTTATTGTATTATTATTATTGTTTAACTACACTTAGAAGTGTATTTCATAGAACTAAACAGAATTACATTTATTTTATTGTAACAAAAAAATACGTGACTCTAGTTTAATAATTGGGATTAAGTACAGATCTTGAGCGCAGTTAAAAATCACCAGTATAAAATATCTCATTAAATTTTATAAACACGAATAGTTATAACAGTCAATATCTAATTGTATAATAAATTATCTCAGGGACAGAGTTAATGCTATTCTTAATAATTTAGCTGATGACTCAGAATAGTGTGGAAACTCGCTGTAAAAATAATGAAATACACTGCAAAATCAATGAATATTCATTGATTTTGCAGTGTATTTCATTATTTTTACTTTTTCAGTTTTAGAGAGGGTCGAATAAGTTTAACGAAATTGTGAACATTTTGATATATAAATATAATAAAAATCCATATCAATATACTGAGATATTTTAGCGGGGAAATGGCAGTTTGCGTCAGACTATGATTTAAAAATGATGATTTTAAATCTTCGGAGATCGCGATGAAGTTGTTTTACCAGAGTACTCGGACTCTGGGGTCTCTGTCACTTAATTTTACCTATACTCTAACTGGTGCTGTACTATGTGTACTCGTTGTCACTTACTTTAATCTACTTCTGGAGATGAGATTCGATGAGAATAAGACGAAGCGAATTAATGCGAATATGATGTGAATAACAATGTCTTTGAGTGGACTTCGGCAACGTTATCAATACGACGTAAGAGTTTGATCGCAATCGTGAAAAAAGGATTAATCGTAGTGTAAGAGACATCTTCTCCTCCAGCATCCTTGGGACTCTGGAAGTACATGCAACTTAATCTAGAGGGGAAAACCCATGATTACTGCATCCAACACAACTGGTTAATATTGACTTATTTATTGACAAAAGATTGCGCGGGATTATCCTCCGTGACCTTAAGCGGCTCTAAACTGTACAATATAACCTCCACGTTATGGAGAAAAGACTGAAGTAATGACGCCCGGGTACAGGCCGGAATGACGACGAAGAGTTACAAATAATTTACAATAATAATTTTTCCCGCGGCTTCACCCAATGCCCTTTACTGTTAAGTATGAAGGTCAGCTCACCCAGGATGCTCTGAAGATGGTGTTGCAACAGCTCCAAATCCTTGTTTCCCTATCCTGAAAAGGACATTTTATTTGAGTACCTCGCCTTATAGGGCATAACTCTGGGAATGGCTCTACTTCTTGTGAGTGCGTAACTTGGAACGTAATATTTTCGCGTCTTTAAAAAGGCACGAGGATACATGCATCTAGCCCAAGGCCTTGCGACATACCACTACGAGTTCAACCTCAATTGACCGAAAGCAACCGGTTCCTACATGTCGTTTTTCGACTTTGCAGCCCTGGATGCGGGCTTGGATTTCGGTCTCCCGTAGTACCAGTATTATCCGCTTTGGTCGGCGGCCACAGTTGTTTATGGTGTGAGGGGAGCACCATTACATTATCGACAGCTGAAAAAAATGTTTAGTATTAGGTGTTTTCTGAAATATATAAAGGTTTTATTATTATTGGAGATTATTAAGTAAAGTAAAGTGAAATGGAGAATAAAATTCCTATCCGTTTGATCCACAGGTTACAGGTGTTCTGCGAAGGTTGCAGACCTGCAACCGGTGCCTAGGTGCTCCGACCATACCCAGGTGTGGATCAATAAAGTTTACGAGCTATGTTTTACGGCGCTGGTAATGACCTACTACTTCTACGGGGCGGAGGATTCTGTGTGTTGGGCATTGCTGCTCCCGTTCGCACTATCCTCCTCTTTTCTCTCACCCCCTCGCGGATTCTTTTGATCTCCTCGAACAATTTCTTTTCCGCGCACGCCTTGACAAATTGTTCGAGGGCTTTACATGTGTCCTTTGTTTTGACGAATTTTGGCGCTATTTCAGGCCACGTTAGGCTGAGGTCAACGTTCGTTTCCGAACGTATGACCGTTATGAGATCATTACGTTTGTCTCTATATGCGGGACAGTGCAACAGGAAGTGCTCCACTGTGTCGTCGTCTCCCCTATTGCAATTAGGGCAGGTTGGGTCTGTTTCGGTGGCATATTGTGCACGAAATATGCCATGTCCTGTGAATATTGGCGTCATCAGGTTGTTCATCTGCATATCCAATTATTATCAAGCCTATCTGCTATGTTTAGGAAGAATTAGCATGTTTTGCGACCCGTCTCGGACGCATCCCATTCTTCCTGCCATATTTTAAGTGTTTGTAACCTGAGGTTTATCATCAGCGTCAACGATTCTTCTGACGTATTGTCACTCAGAGAAATCCTAACATTGTTTTACGTAACTGCTTCGTCGGTACGAAGTGTATATCGCGCATTGAGATCACCGATCGCTATGCGTATAGGCGGGACGCCTATCGCCACGCAGAGGCCGTCTCTCGGGGTAAATGCGCGAGCGTGCGCGACCGCAAGGGTCAGCCAATCTTTAGCGTTACATAAATCGCTCCAGGCTGGGGACGCATAAGCAATCACCGGCAGGAAGCACCCCCTATATATAGTTAGACAAGTGTGGTAATTAAGTCCCCAATGCATTCGCGAAAGGCGTCTCATCTTGTGAAATAGCTTTTCCGCTTGTGCCTGTCGTTTATAAATATGTGTAGGAATGTTAAGATCTCTGCCGAACCAGACCCCCCGGTACCTAACTAACTCTGGGTACTTAATTTTGTCTACAACTCGGCTATATCACGAGGACACATAGCATCTGGTGTAGTGAATCTTTCCTGGTAGCTAAACAGGATGGATCTCGGCAACTTCGTATTGGTTACGGCAGCTGAAACGCTCGGACATTTGAGTTTGGTTATTTACTTCCTAATATACTTAGAATTCTTCAGAACAAAAGTTAATTGGAATTGGACTGCGGAAGTACAAAAGGCGTTTGTTGCAACAAAGAAGGCGTTGACTAATGCCCCCACCTTGTATCCGGCAGATTCATCGTTGCCGTTTCGCCCTTATACTGACGCTAGTGACGTGGGAATAGGCGCGATCTTAGTCCAATATGATGAAAAAGAGGATAGGGAATGTCTAAATTGCTGCATTTCGAGACAATTCTCACAAGCAGAGCGAAACTATCATACTTCTGATAAAGAGTGCCTAGCTGTCATATGGGTGGTTACTAAACTGCGCCATTTCATTGAAGGCAGTCCTGTGACGGTCTACACCGATCACTCCGCCTTAACTCATCTCACAACTGCATCAGATCTCAAAAGTCGTCTGTCCAGATGGGCAGTCCTTTCGTCAACCTTCAACTTTAGATTTGTTCATTGTCGTGGCACTCGTAACGAAGCTCTCGATGCCTTATCTCGTGTTTTTTAAGAAAACTTCCAACCCGATCCTATTAATCCTCCAAAGGTATATGAAAAAATGCCTGAGTATTCCTTCAACCCATCTTTAGTGACCTTGCCTCTCGAAATAGCGCATTTCTATACCTTCGATCTTAAAACCACAGTCTCAGATAATTATTGAAAAGAGAATCCTCCAGAGTACAAAACTATAGTTAACATTCTTCATCAAGCCCATAATGAGGTGACTTCAGGCCACCTGGGCGTTGACAAAACATATGCTAGAGTAAAGTCACAGTATTTCTTTCCTAACATGTCTCGTATGGTTCGTGATTACGTAATCCCATGTGAAGTATGTTTCATGAATAAATATAATCAATTGAAGGCGACCTCACATTAAGGTCATCAACCCATGCTTGTTCCATGGTCGATTTTTTCTATTAACTCAATTGGTCCATTTTCTACTTCAAAAAGGCATATCGAATACGATGATTTCTAACTATCTGTCCAACTATGATCATCGCACTTGGGATGAGAATCTGCGTGAGTTAGAGTATGCATATAACACTGCATACAACTCGGTGACTAAATGCACTCCATACTTCCTAATGTTTGGCAGAAGTCCTCGTAATCTTAAGGATAAAGTAACGGTGAAATATGATCAGCTCACCAATATAGATTATCTTAAGCTTAGAATAGACCGTCTGAACGAGTTGCGACAATTGAGTAAAGCTCCCGAGCACTTCTCTTCTAAACTAGCGCGTAAATATATAGCGCCAGCAATAGTAGAGTCTTTAATTTCTCCTACTGTAGTAACTCTGATTTCAAAGCATAGTAAAAAGCTGAGGACTTATCATATCAACGACTTGAAGTTTCGCACACACAAAGCATAGCCAGTATGTTACAGATTGAAAATGTCATCTTCAGATCAACTTGTTAACATCTTCGCATCGATCCGAGATGCACTTGTTTCATCAATGGGACCACCGGTACCAGTGTCCTTACATGTCACAATCACTTCGTTACCACCACCAATACAGGAACCACCAAGGGTGACACCTATAGTAGTGCCCAGTTAAACACCACTAGTTGACCTCGAGGACTTTTTGGACAAAGTATCTACACCACCACTAAGCATAGATGCCTCTCATGTCCATGGAAACCAACCTCCAAGTCCTCTACCACCAACAGCATCGCCAGAGTACTCCGATGTACTACTTAAATTAAGACTAATTCCTCTAGTACATCTCAAGAGAGACCAAAAGACCGAAGAGAAAATCTCAAGGACAACCCGGAACTACCACTATTGAATGCTATGCATCCACGACTCTCGGTTCATGTGCTGACTTACTACGAAGAAGAACCAAAATACTAATACGAAGATTACTATTGAAGCCAAAACTATGTGACATAAAAAGACTCTAGTTATCATAATTCTTTGTTATAATTAAAATTTAAACTATCTATATTAATTTAAGAACATTCCAAAGACTGCCATAAGCTTAGCTTGAGTACAGTATTGAAACTTGTCGAACTAAATGTCTGTCTGTGGAGAATCAGTATTGTAGTAGTCTAAGACTGTATTTTTTTACATTCATATGAGAGATTTGTCTAACTTAATTAACTAACTAAGATTTAAGATCTTTTTGATACCTTGTACGTCAATTTAATATATAAATGTTCCTTGATTCATTATATGTATGTCTATGAGAGATTACTTTTATCTCCCTTGTGTACCTTCATTCCCTGAAAAAAAGCGTTCTCACATTCGTTTAAAATTGATGCATTTTCTGTTAAATAAAAATATATATTATGTCACTGACTTTTGGGACATCCCTTCTGGATTGTCCAGTCAAAATACTACATAACATGCAAAATAAATTTTAGTACTATATATCATGGGATGATGAAGATTTCACCCAAAGTCACAGAGATAATTACTCCACAAACAGTACAGTCTATAAATTTAAAAATTCTAAACATTAATATGTACACTCCTAAGTAAAAACAACTACGACCAGTACTCGATAAAATAAGTTCACTTGTTGCTTCCCTTCTGGAGCATTGAACTCAAGGTCATTCTATAGAATAATAAGATCAGCTATTTAAAAGCGCCTTTTGCGCATGATCGAGTACGATTGAAGATCAAAACACTATACTATGTTCATAGAATAAATCTGTGACCTTTTCAAGGTCAAATTTTTTAGATTATATAGACTCACCCAGACGTATGTCTGAGACACATTATGTACAGAACTGTTTGTGAGGCTCCCCTCTGCCCTTGTAGAAACGAAGGTCATCGAGCTCCGACTCGCCTGGATTCTCCCGTTGGGAAAATGCCAACCACACCAGCCACCGATAATGCAGGGTTCCACGTAACCTTCAAAGGTCAAACTATAGACGACATCATGATGCGGCTAAAGCGGCGCTGCAATAGCGGAGTGAGTGGAATAAGTGGGTTGACATAATTGTAAATTGTAGCGTAAATTCTTCTCCTGTCATTGTAAATTATTGCTCAATTAATTACTTTGATTATTACATTTGTTAATTACCAATTGTTACTTTTCCGTCCTGTACCCGGATCATAATCATAAGGTACATTAATTACTCAACTCTATAGGCATCATAATAACACGCTAGCTCGTTTTAGGACGCGGGGAGATAATCCCATACGTGTAATCTGAAGTTTATCTTTGTAATAAAGTTCTTTACGATATACGTATGATTTACTTCACTTTGTATGCACCTCTGCTTCGTAATTTTCTTGCTGAACTGAGTTTCCACGAGCCACATAAAGGTAAGTGAGAACACATACACTTATATCAGCAGCTATATATTCTCAAGATCATATTAAATCTCTAATATTATTTTATTTACATACCTTGCGTTATGTTACGTTACAATTCAAAATATAAATAATTGTCGATAAAATGGATGGAGGCTACCAGAGTGTCATACAATTATCCGTTAGATGTCACGACTAACCCGGTGATCGGTCATTCCAGTGATGGTCAGCTGATAGTCTTATGACCATGACATGACGATCATAAATGAACAATTCGGTCATGCTTGCATCTCTAAAAATGACATAATTTAAAACATAATTGATTTATAAGTTTTTGACTTCTGCAGATCTTTCTTAAAATTTTCAATACAATTTTGAAGAATTGATATATAAATTGTATACTTTCATCAAGTGATATTAAAGAACTTGTTTGAATTCATATCCGTTTTATATTTCTTATGTTTAGCTAGTTATCAAAGTGTAATTTTTGTTAGAATTTTTGGGTGAACATTTTACTGAGTTCTTTGAATGCAATTATCATTTGTTCATGATTCAACATGATGTTGTATTTAAATTTATTGGATCATATAGTCATTGTATTGAATTAAGACTTTTTACGATTATAAACGTATCATTTTATGTTGTCTATTTTTCAGTTTATCTGTGTGAACCAGCATGAATTATAGGTGTAATGCCTATAGTACCTTTTTTGGCGGTTTAGCATGCTGGATCTGATGTATATTTCTCTGATTACTATGTATAATATTGTAAAATAAGACTCAATAACAACTTCGGAAAATTAGTAAATAAATAAAAATGTTTATTAATGATTGACAGCAATTAATTAAAAGAAAGAATCCGTGCGGTCAACTCAAGTCACAGTCAAAAACTGGAGATAAACAAACTCTCCTCTCGTTGCTATAAACAATCTAATCGTCAAGCAATCGTCGTTAACTAACAAACTGTCGTTAGTCTAATAGTCATTAGATGGCGACATACAAATATTTTACAATATATTATACCTGAGTTATCCTAAAAACCTTGAAAATGTTTAGCTCATCGTTGTCGCTTTAATTTTGCTTTGGAGCCCTGTTGAACAATACAACATTTCGATCAGTGTGCTTGTTCATTTATTATTTTTAAAACATCTGTCACACCAGTCAGATTTAGATGACTTCAGAAACATAAATATCAGTGCTCTGCAGTGGTCTGGGTGCGACCCGAAAGGTCCACACGACCAACTTCCCAGTGGAAAAAATGGAAAAACACCTCGAATAGAACCCGTTTCCAATTTTTTATAACAGATTTAATTGTTATAAACAAAAAGAGTGAGTTTCTATTTATATTATACGGTTGATAACTTTTTTTTTAGTAAAAGAAAACATGACGCGTCGGAAGAATTCAAATATACCTCATAGATCCTTTTTTTCATTATTTATAACAAATTTTATTGTTATAAACGAAAAAAGTATGTTTTCATTTATGTCATACGGTTAGTAACATTCGTTTAGTAAAAGAAAAAATTATGCATTAAAAATACTCATATATATATATATATATATATATGTAGCATGGATCCCTATTTTTACTGTTTATAACAATTTAAAACTTATTATTTAAATATTACCATGATCAATAATCATTTTTTAGTAACAATGTTCAATTGTTATGGACACAATTCCATATTATTAACAATTATTATTGACTATTATAGCGTCTTCAATGCTGTTTTCTCAATCCTGACACGAGTTTGAAATTCGTTCATTGCTGATTTTGTTTTTTAAAATTTTTTTTTTTTTCTATAAAATGTTGTCATTATATTTTCATACAAGTATTCTAATCATTTAATAATTATATTTTTTTAAAGATTTTGGAATATTATTTAAAAAATGGTATAATTTATAAATTGCAAAATTCAGGTCGTTTTCCATTTTTGCTAGTTTTTTGGTTCTACAAAAAAAAATGGCTTGACCGATTTTGCTGAAAATCTAATCAGTTCTAAGTTACATAATTATGCGTCGAATGCAATTGGTCTCACACCGATATGATTTTTAGTTCTCGAGATAATCGACCAGAAAAATTCGACCGTATTCGACTTTGGGGACATTAAAACGTGGAGATATGTCAAAATTCGGGATTCGCAAAATTGTCCACTGGGAAGTTGGTTATTGATAACGTTAATAATAAAAACTCAAGTACTCCTACTAACTTTCTCTTTAAGTTTAATTTTATTGCACGTTTAGAGGTTCAAGAGGTAATGGTGGCTGTAAAGGGCAAAAGTATGCCCACCTAGGCTGAAAAATATAAGAAAAAGCAGAGCTAAACTCCTACTTTTTCAGATAAGTGCCGCAATATCAATAAATGTCATCAAATAAAAAATGCTAATTAATTCCCAAAGCATAAGAGCGTCCAAATTGTCAATATTTGTTGTTAATGTATGAATTCATAGATTTTTTAATTGTTTTATTAATAATCTCTAATAACTAAAGATAGCTAATGATAATAGACTTATTTCTTAAACATTTTCAGAAGGAATTTTTTTCTCTAAATTTATTTGTTTTTCATAACTAATAACTTATGTCTAGATATATTATTGAGCCTGAGTTAAGAGTTAAAATTCTATTATTAACGTTATTGAGTGAAGAATGTTAATTGTTTATTAAATAGGAAGAGTCAATATAACAAATTTTATTTAAAACGAATAAATATACATATATACAGTACATTTCCATACATAATAATACAATTACTATCATTCCAATATCACACATGCATTCCAGTCCTTAAACACTCTATGTAAAAAATTTAAGTTAGCTTTAAAAAATGATATTTAACAAAAAATAAATTGTTAAGTTAATATACATAGTACATTTTAATTAATCAATAACATAAAATTGATTTTCAAAAGATACTATTAAATATTATAGTACAATTACTAGCATTTCCATATCAAACATTCTTTCCAGTCGTTCAAAACATTTCCAAAAAATTCAATTTAAGTTTAATTTTCAATCTATCTTGAAAAATAATATCATTCAAGGAAATTCAATGTCTGTACAACTATTAAATTGGTTTAATAAATAGTAATATTTACAAATTATGATGCTAAAAGTTAACATTAAAAAAATACAATTTTAACTTAATTAATTTTTCTATCAATTTTTATCTACATCGTTTACATGGTGGAGGCAAACAATCAGAATCATCTTTAAATCTATATATCTCAATATAATTACATAAATTTTCCGCAGTAATAGGTGCTCTAATACTATGGCAAACAGACTGAGCAGTGGTGAAAGAATTGGGAAAAGATTTATCCGTCCTTTCACGCATAAACACCCAATGCCCATTTTCGAATGTACATTCAATTATTTTATTATGTAAATCTTTAATTGCTTTAGTAATTTTTATGTGATCAAATGGTTCTTTTAATCCTCCAACATATAAATGACCTATTTTTCTGGTTAGAATACCCATACCCGATTCAACGACTATTTTTAATTTAAAATCTACAGAATTTAATGGCTTCCATTTTAATACTTCTCCTGCAGTTCCAGGGATGTAGGGCTCCTTCGAAGGCTGGAAGATTAATCCGTCTAGTTGATGACCCAATTGTTTGGCGAATTTTGCACTCAACAAACTGTTGGCTTGTGTGATATCCCAAAAATGCTTTAGTCGGACAGAAAAAGGTTCTTGTTCTCGGCATATTATACCTTCATTTAATGCTCTATAACGGCTTCCCATTATTTCTCTTTCGATGATGGTATATCGATCGGGGAAGAATGATTTTTCAGATACATCGTTCCCGTCATACATGATTACATCATAAGCCAAGTACCTGGGATATTCGGTACTATTTACTTTATCAATGACCATTTCGCTATCCAATAAAGTATCTTTCAGAGATCTTGAAAGATCTCGAGGGTGTGGAAATTTTAATCCAGACACTTGAAAGACACTATTATTCCGATCAATGAAAAATACCTCATTGTCTGCTTGAATCAGCATCATATATCTAGTACCATCAGCTTTCCATGATACTCTATATGGTTTGATATGAAGTAGAACCATATTCTCCTGGACCATGGAGACTGGTTGAGAACCAGGGAAGCCCTTTTTATTCCATTGGCATATGTCTTGAACTCTTTTTTGAATTCTTGCAACTTTAGCTAAATCTTGTACAGGTACCACACTAGAAACTCCAGCCATGAAAACTGGATTTTTAACAATATGTTCCTTATGTCTTCGAGTATGTTTCCTACTTCCGAATTGGTCATGTTCTTCATAGTTTCCTCTGGAGTCAACGGATTCCAAACACCAATTTGGACGTGGTGGTGCAGGCGGTGCATAACTCTCATCATCATATCGTCTGTATAATTCTTTAATGTATTCTTCCTTGTAAATTCCAGGAGGTCTGATAGATGAGAATTCACTAACAGCAGCGTCCAAATTAAATAAATCACTTTCAACTAAGAAGCTTATCAAAAGAAACCCAGTTCTATTGAAACCATGGGTACAATGGACTCCAATAATCTCCAATGGATTTTGTGCAATGAAATTTTTGCGAATTTCAATAAAAACCTTGGTTTGTTTTATGGAGGGAGTTTCTCCATGACCTCGACATTGAAGTTTGAGGTAATGA